ACAACGAACATGAATATAGTTTTAAGTGGCAGTTTCACTTATATGCCAACAATGAATGCATTCATAGTTTTTAACCGACAATTTTATTTCCTAGCGATTAGCAATTATTTAGTAAGTTACATAAGGATAATATTGGAATAAAAATAGGTAAGTTGTATAAGGATAATATTAAAAAAAAAAAGGTTAGTCCAAAATCATCTATCTCCTTTACATATAATTATAAATAAGAAGAATTCTCCATCTTCAAAATTTTCTACATCTTCATGGTTATAATTTGAGGATGTTTTGTACCAAGGTGATGCTCTTATTAGAATGACGCTAACATGGTTTTGAGAGGCTTGGCCTTGCTAAATGTGTCATTGCTATTATTCCAAGATAAACAACATTGCCATCACTATATCATATCTAATAAGGAATAATGAATCGTTTTTTACTATAAATTACATATTAGAACAAAAATAAATTTATAATAGAATCCATAACAAAAAAACTTGATAGAACCAAACTCGACTTTTATTCAAAAATAAAAAATAAATCTAGTCCAAAACAAAAAGATCACATTCATTGTTTTTCAATATAATGGAGCTTACCCCAAAGTTTGACATTGTTTTTCATGCCATTGGATGCCTAATGACAAAATAAGCCACATCCACCAATACTATGTTAGCACGAGAGAGTCAAAGATAAATGTTAGATTAAATTCATAATCGAATTGTATGTCTTCAGACCCTTAGTCATGTTTGTATGAGAGTGTCAAAGACAATGATATTTGGATATTCAAAATTAGAAAATTGAATTAGGAAGTAATAGAGAGGCTAGTATCATTAAATGCAATTGAATTTAGGTTAATTTTGGTGAAGGTTAGTAATTGAATAAAACAAAATAGCAAAAACTATGGAAACAAATACATAATATGTTTAATATCAATAACATATACATAATTGATATGCAAATTTTATCTTCCAATTTTGTTGCGATTTAAAATCTAATTCTTTCTATCATATAATTGGTTATTGTAGTTTGTGCTTATCATAATCAAGTATGGACATTCACGGTATCAAACATTGTAGTATATTTAACTATCTTTACCTCAAATAGATGCCACTCAACTAAAGCTAAAGTCTCATTACGAGTGTCTTGAATGTAAGTATTTTGAATTTCAATAGAATTCAAAGTAAGGTTGTCAGAATCGAATTTTTACCTTGACCCATTTTAGCTAGGTAAAATCGAAACATAAAAGCGAAACGTAAAATCGTAAAGTTTAACTTATATTAAAATTATATATATATATATATATATATATATATATATATATATATATATATATATATATATATATATATATAATTTATGCCCTAACTATGTAATTTAATTCAAAAAATTAATAGATGTGTTTATATATACATATCCAACAACATGTAAGAATTATGAAAATTGAAAAAGATACGTTTTAAAACAAAGAAGAAAGCTTTGGTCTGGCGTCGTACAAGTTAAGTGATGTTAGGGTTCAAAAGTTCATTGCTATGGTAAATAAAAAGTCTAATGTCTAATGAAAAAGAGGTTATTTAAAGTGAATAAAATAATAAAGTGGGAGAAGTTTTATTGGGCTAACATTTTTAAAATTTCAAGAAAAAAGGTAAAATCAAATCAAAGAGTAAAATTCAAAGATTTTACATAATTTTACAAATTTTAGAGAGATTTAAATCATATAAAATCGTTTCAGTATACGATTTTACCTGCGATTTAACACCAAATACTAACCTAGGAATGTATAATCTAAGTTTTTAGGGTTTAAATCGTGATTTTAACAACCTTGATTCAAAGTCACTAACCTGAGCCACTTTGGCTTGAAGATTAGTAGTAAGGTGGTCTTCTAATGTTATTTGATTTGAATATTCCGACTCGACTCTTTAATATACCTCATGAATTTGATAAGCGTCACTGAAGTAGTCAATGTTCTATAAGTTTGCATCATTTTATTACAATTAGTAAAATACATGGACGAGTCTTCAGCAAATGCAAAATAAGAAAAAATTAACATTTAAAAAATGATTAAATCAGAGATAAATTTAAAATAGAATGTGAGAATAAATCGACCAATTATACACAATCAACCAAAACTGCATCAGCTCTAAAACATAATCTATTGAAACCTAAGCTTCATTTCACTTTAAATTTGAAAAAGAAGAAATCAAATTTTACTCTAGTGATTGTAGTACTGAGTGTGACTTTGTGGTGATCTATGCAATCAATAGATCCAATGTTTATTGAAGAGCGAGCGAGATAGAAGATTTATATTTTAGTGAAATAAGCCACAAAAGATTTGAAGAAGAAGGAGATGAGACAATATTGTCATTGGTGATAGGGGATTGAGATTGAGGTGAACGGATGAAGCAAGATCTTGTATGCCATTGCAAATAGATGTATTTTGATGCATTACAATTAAAAAAAACACATAAAAAAATTGTTGAAGCGAGTTTACCATTTTTTTTAATATAGACACACTTGGAAAGACTTTTATTACATAATCATCATTTAACTGTTTTGTTGCAAAAGACAAGGGGTCAAATAGGTTTTGATGCATAACTCTCAAATATTAGTGAAAAATTAAATGTTGAACCAAGTTTAACAACAAGAGAGTATTCCAAATCCAACTACAAAGCAATGTCAAAAAAGAAGGCTAGAAAGTTTTCAAAAATGAAATTTTAATTTAACAAAATAAAACACATTATAAATCAATGTTAAATCGAAATTGTGATTAAGCCAAAATTGTGAAAGACAAATAGAAAACAATGATGATTAGGCCAAACTTGTGAGTTTAAATAGCTTTGTGGTTTACACAGCTATAGAACTATAAATTCATCAATTTTTTTATGACAACAAGAAAATAAATTATTTCTAAAGATATTTTAGGAATCTTGACCTAAGAATTACCACCAATCAAGTAATGGATTCAAACAAGGTGTGTTGTTGCCAATATTTGTTGACCAAACTCCATGTTTAGATAAATTATCATCGGATGAGGTTTCATTGTTTAAATCAATTAAAATCATATGGAGTGGTATGAATTTAAAAAAAGTTCTTGCTCCGTCCTAAAAGATCTAAATAATGGAATTTAATCTTCATTCTACTTTATTCCGTTCAACTCCATCCTATTTTTCTCATTTCCATTTTACTCCGTTCATGTGATGATATTTAAATATATCCTAAGGCTATGTTTGAATATTTCAAAATGAACAGAGTAAAGAAAAATAGAACGGTGTAGAATGAAGTGGAACAGAGTAGAATAAAATGGATATCTCATCCTACTGTTTGGATATTTTAGAATAGAGTGTAACAAAACATATTATTCTATCCAAATCAGAAGGAACAAAAATGAGTATAAGTAATGAAATTGAATGAAATGCATTCAATCATGATCCATTCCATTCCATTCTCTTTTTACCAATTCCAATGATAAAACATAACCTAAATCCATTCAATTCTGTTCAATTCATCACATTCCATCAATTCAAACATAATTTAAAAGACAATTTATCTATTCAAGAAGTCTAACATCATTTTGACTTTAATTATATACATCTCTACTAAATTTTTGCAACTTTGTCTCTTTTTTAAAGATATGTATTTGTGCACCATGTTTCAATCAAAATAAAAGAAAATATGTATTTGTGCCCCATGGATCATATCGTAAAGGTATTTGCAATGTAATTTGGATTGGTTTTTAGATAAAAATTTATTCGATTTAAAGATAAATTTATTTGCGGTTCAGTTGGATATTAGATGGTTGATTAAAAAAATCTGATTTGATCCAATTTCATGCCGTTTAATTTGAATATATTTTTGGACATTCAAATTACAAATTATATATATTTTTATTAAAATTATAAAAATATTAATAGATTTGATATAATATATAACCTATAGTATATTAAAAATTAATATTATTAAATGTGAATGATCCATTATTATTGAAAACAAATGAAGTAATAAAAATAAATAAATAAAATTAAACTAATAAATAATATTAAAAAATAAGTATTATCAAATGATAAATTAACACAATATATCATATTAATAAAAAATTAATAAGTATAAAAATATATACACGCGTTTCAATTCGAGTTGATTTTAAAAAATCAATATAAAATCTAATCTAAATCGAATATCTTTTTTTACAAAATAACATCTAAACACATTCAATAATTTTTAATTTTTTTCAATTTGGATAAGTTTATATATGAAGGAGATGAACGAAGAAAATGAATTGAAGGAAAGGTTCTAAACTAGTATTTGTGAGTATTTTAAAATATTGATATCCTAGTACAAATATTGCATAATTTTTAAAATATTCGAATTTTATTAAATTAAAATATTTGTAAAATTCAAAATAATGTAAGTTTTTATCAATTAATTTAGTGACTGAAATTTATCTATTAAAAAATATTTAATTATATTTTTTAAATTAAATTAAATTAAATAATTAATTAAATAAAATGTTAATTTAGACTTTTATATTATATTTAATTTAAAAATTATGATGGAGATAAGTTAAAAAAACTTATTTTTAGAATAAGTTAATCTCTACCTTATTTATATATATATATATATATATATATATATATATATATATATATATATATATATATATATATATATATATATATATATATATATAATTGAATTGATCGAAAAAATCATAGCATAAAATTTGAAAAATAAAATGGACACGAACATTAAAAGAGCTATGTATTTTTCATCATAAGACAGGGGATTCTGAATCTGAACACGAGCGGGATTTTAGAATTTGGTTCAGACTCGCGAAACAAAAAACCCTCAACCTCCTTCACTCTTAATGCTTCAACATCAAATTCTAACAATTTCGATTCGAAGATTTCAGTAACGCTTTAACCTTCTCAATTTCTCACATTCTGCTCCTAGGGTTTAACAAGGGGTTTCGTTTTGAGGTTTTCTTCACTCTCTGATATCGCTTTTTCACAATGTCACTTTCGTTGTTCTCCACTCCTCAGCAACCGCAACCGCAGTCTCTTTTTCAACCACAGCAGCAACAATCTCCTTTTCAACAGCAGAGCAATTTGTTCCAGCAACCGCAGCAGCAACAACAACAACAACAATTTCAACAACAACAACAATTTCAAGCACAGCAACAGCAACAACAGTTGTTTTTGTTTACTAACGATAAAACTCCTGCCAGTTACAGCACCAATTGGGCGGATCTTCATCCTGATTCCCAGAAGTTTTTACTTCAGATCGAGTATATGTTCTAATTTTCCACTTCATTCCATAAATTGAAGTTTTTTTTTCTTTTTTTAAATTTCATGATTACTATAATGTTATGATTTTAGTTGCTTATTAGGTGTTATTTGTTACACAGGGAGCGGATATTGGAATATAGAGATGAAAGCCAGAGACTTGATCAGTGTAATCGTCTTTATGATTCTTCAGTTTCGAATGATGGATTTGAGGTTGATGCAAGCCATATTGTTCAGGTTATCTCTTGCACCACTTTGTTGATTACCTATCTATTCCGTTTTTGATACAAATCAGAAATGTAACTTTTATGTTGGCGAAAAATGTATGGATTGATGTTTTCTAGTTGAGGCATATTGAAAATACTAGCTTATGATTTTGTTTTGAATATATGTGCTAAATAGGCTCAAAAAGAGAGTATGTATTATTGTTCGACAGTTGCGGCACATTAAAATTTCATGCCTTTCCTCACCCATCTCGCTCTAATCACATAGACAGTTCACTCATAACAGAATGCTAGGAGAGTCATATGCCACGTCACTACTACTCTTATGACTTCCCTATTCAGCTTAGTTGTTTTGGTTTAGGCCCAACTCAGGGTCCTATCAATGTCCGTGACCTCAATAACATGATCTTTGACCATTGAGTTTTTTTAGTTTGTCATCGAAGGGCGTGTGGTTATTATTAGCATTGCGAAATGGATGCATCGAATGCCACTGGGCAGACCTACAAGCCTATTTTTGAGATATGTTTAAGTATGCTGGTTTTTTTATGATGTGGTTTAAACCCATTGTTCTATTTCTGTTTACTTTTCACTCATTGTTAAGCAGTATTTTATTGTAACAATGCTTTGAAATGATTAAATTGCTCCCTTCTCTCTTAATATTTTGCTTAATGGGATCTATTTATGGAATAACAGATATTTTTTGATGTTTAATAGGAACTTGGTGGAATCAGCACTGCTATGGAACGGCAGAAAACTTTGCTACATGAGTTGATGTCAGTTGTTAAAGATATGTTACGTAATACAGAGGTTGCTGTTCGATCCTTTATGATCCTACGTCCAAGGTTCCATCATCCTAGTGGGGGAGCATCAAGTGCCACTGCCCCATCACAGACCCCTGGAGCAACAACACCTAGTTTGAACAGCCAACCAACATCTACATCTATAGTGCCCGTTTTTGATTTCTACAGTGGTCTTCCGAAGAAACCATCACCCTTTTTACAGCAAACAATTCTTCGATTTGAGAAATATCTTGGTGAATGTCATCAGTGGATTCAAGAGTTAGAGCAGCTACTTCTCCTAGAATCTGAAAAAAACGCTTCTAATAATGGATCCTCGTTATTGCAGTCTCTTCCCAAAGTCATGACAAATGTGCATGACTTTTTTGTTCACGTGGCTGCAAAGGTAAAGTAAAGAGAAACAGATATGACTTTTTAAAACAACATCACACCATATTGCTGTGGGTGTACGCACTTCGATATAAATCTTATGAATTAAGCTCTATTCGTTATAACTTTCAGAATATGACATGGAAATTTATGACCGTAGAACTTTTGAATCTTCACATTTTAATCACTTGTATCTTATCTTTTCCTTTGTACTTACCTATTTTTAAATTTAACTTGCCAAGAGATTTTTTTTCTTCCATTTGTTCATGTCATGTTATGGGCTATTTTATTGAAATTTAATCACTGCGGTTCATTCATTTGCCTAATGCTTTTAAATTTGAAATCTTAATATATTCTTAATATGCAACTATGATAGACCTCTAAAGCATATATAAGTCTCTAAGTTTACCAGAGAAGGAAGAGAGGAAGGGAAGGAATGGAGATGTGTTTGGAGAAGTCTATTTGGAGGAAAAAGTGGCGAAGTGGCGTCCAACAGAATGGGCAGGTAACAGGAGGATATTGGAGGTGGGACGAGGGATGCACGGGGAGAGTGGGGATTTTATGGGTCTAGTATCAGATCATTGTTTAATCATAGGATAGCTAATATCATAGGGCTGCTTCTATGATATTTCCTTTATTTTCTGTAGTTTATGTTCTTGTAGGAGCTAGTCTTCATTGTTTTATCTGTAAAATAACAATTCCTATCAAAATGCTATACTTTGCGCCATCTTCCATTTCCTACTGTGTATCAAACAATACCAAAACTCGGTGTAATACACATGATAACACGTGGTTGTCCTGTTCAAAAGATTCTCATGCAGATATAAAACTGTGCTTCATAATATTTACCAATTCTAATTTATGGTAATAATAACATGTTACTTAATAATGCTTATTCAGGTGGAGAGCATTCATCAGTACATGGAATCTATGAAATCAGCATACCTAGTTGATCAGCGCCGCCGAGGGGAGGTGAATGATCCATTTCTAGAGGCCGACCGGCGAGAAACTGCAAGACAAGAAGCTGCATCAAAAAGAGTTCATCCAACATTGCACTTGCCTGCAAATTCACAACCCTCAACTCAAGTTGCTGGGTTGTTTTCCAGTTCAGGAACTCAAGGAGCATTGACTGCTCAACAGACTGCTGCAACAACTTCATCTTTGTCAACAGGAAGTGGTTTGTCTCTTTTTAGCACACCGACTTCAGCTCCATCGTCATCTATGTCATCTTTGTTTGCAACACCAACAACTCCGGCTCAAGGAACCTCATGGTTTGGATCATCTAGTGCTACGCCTCAAACCTCACTTTTTGGTTCTGCATCATCTAGTGCTATGCCTCAAACCTCACTTTTTGGTTCTGCATCATCATCGCTACCTGGTGCGACATCAACTCCCTCTCTGTTCGGTAATAATACTCCATTGTTTAGCTCAACTCCGGCTGCAAATTCACTCTTTTCAACTCCGTTTGCTTCAGGTACTTTCTTGGTTCATACTTTGTCTTAATTACCTTATGTTCAAGCGTTAACAAGTTACGTAGTTGTTTTAGATGTAAATTGTTTTGAAATCAAGGCTAATGCAGCACAGCAGACATAGAAGGCAGGACTCCTAAATATTATTTTGACGTCAGAGTGGTTCAATTGAAAAAATTAAGGGTTAGCCTGCAAGGTTGGGGTTTTGTGGAATTTTGGAAATATTCAGGCAAGGGATTATTAGGAATTTGATAAGGTGAATGATCAGTGCTTCTTGCTAAGCAAATGGAGTCTCGTCACTTTTAAGGGAAAATTAGTATTGTATAAGAAATTAACTTATGCGTCACATCTAAGAAAAGACATATCATATATTGAAGTAATCTCTTCGTTATTTATATATTTTGTGTAGCTGGTTGTATGACATAAATAGATAATGTTAAACTTGGGGGGTAATTACAATTAGTCCACAGCTCAAGGCCCAAGCTAAATAACCAGCTTCTTATAACTGGATATTGTGTTTTAGGATCTTTAATAACGAAAATATCCCTAGAACTAAAATTACAGTTGTTGACCCATATTTGTATATTACTAGGGATTTACTTGCATTCCATCCTAATACTAAATTCAATCATTAGAATTTTCTGAAATTTAGTCTTGTATCTTGTGGGTTATACTCAACATCAAGGTTTTTTTTTGAAGCTTTGTATGTGCCCAATACTCTGCCGGTCCTGTTTTAGTTTCATTTTTCAAATTTTCTTTTATGTAATGCTTATGATTAAAATGATTAGTAAATGTGAGTTCACTGTTTTTTTGAAGCAATTCTTGTTTGCAATCAGGTCATTGAAATTACTGTTAATAATAACCAAACCAGTCAGGGTACTGGTAAAGATAGAGGTTTTGGTTGAGGCTCGGCTGGAATTGAACCAGAGTTGAACATAAATTTCATATATACACATATATATTGTATTAAATTGGTTTATTAATTTATAACCATATGTAAAAAAACTTTATATACATAGGATGGGTTTATAAATAAATATTTGGTCCCCATGTTTCTACCGGTTGCAAGAATTGGTACCCCATGTTTCAATTGGTTGCAAGAATTGGTACCCCATGTCTCTACTGGTTGCAAGAATAGTCCGAACTTCCATCCTTTATTAGTCTCCTCTTGATTTTAACTGAAGCCAAACCCTTGTATGACAAGCTCTTATTTGTCCTCCATTGGGCATATTAATAGGAGTGAGATTGAATTTGGGTTATAGGTAGGAAAGTAGTAAAGTCTTTTTTCTTGAAAAGGAAAAGTTTATTAAAACACCGTAATCATGTGCTAGGATTAAGCAGGATTACTAAAACCAATCACTTTCAAAGAGTGATAGTCAAGTAATACACCAAACAATACATATCAATACCAAACACAACACGATCTTTGTGGCCACACACAATAACCACCAGCAAAATTTATACTGCAGATAGCACACTGATAAATTCTGAATAGTAAGATAATGGAAGAACTATACACTTGAATATAATACTTTCCTGTAATTAAACTGAGGATAACCCCTGCAGTAGCAGAGTTATATAATACACAATAACTGTATTATTAATTACAACCACTAGGATTAGAGAGCCTATTCTCTCCCAAACCAAACCAGCCAATAATAAACTGAATGAGAGACTTTCTCATTCTTTATTCTACTTAAATACATTACACTTAATTATATAATTTGGGCCTAATTTACTGGACCTTGGGCCTACGGGCCATGCCTAACATATACATTAATGATTGGAGGTCTCCTAACACAAACATAGCAGGAAACCAGATAAGTGGCAGTTTAAACTGTTACATTCATTATATAATAATAATTGGTTTAAACATGTGAAGTTTACATGGTTCTACTGGTTTTCTTTTCTGGCTCAAATACTGGTTTTGGAACAGTTGTTTAGGGCCATTTGAATTTGATCTAGCAGTAGGGCAGATTCCCTTTCCCATTCTGACCAGTTAGTCTGGTTCCTTCTGAAAACCTGGAGTTAGAATAATGCCGAATTAATTAGAGTAAGTAGTTAAGGATTGTTTTAGAAGTTAGTTAACGTTGCTACAGGGCTATTTGTATAAATAGGAGAATACGATGTAAGAGTTGATCATTATTGAATAATGTAAACATGAGCAGTGACTCTATTGTGAGAGTGAAACTCTTGGACGAGATCTCTCTCCTATTCTTTCATATTTTGTAATTAAGTTGTTCTTTTTTGGAATCCAATTGTTGAGTTCCTAGCAAAACCTGATTAAAATAATTAATTGTATTATTATTGAATTTGACTGCAAGAGATAAAAAAGAAACTGAAACCCAATGCTTCCCTCCCTCTCATTTCATCATGACAAGAAAAAAGGAGGGTGGTTGGGATTCAATTCATCTTTCTTAATGTTATCTTCAACCATGTTGACCATTTTTTCTTACTCAGGTGCTGCAACAGGATCAGGAGCAAGCTTTGGGGGATCTGTAAGTAAACTTTAACATCTCGGGCTTATTAATAGATTCTGTTAGAATCAATCATTATGATCTGTAGGTTTAGTGATTTCTTTTATGGCGTGTATGGCTACACCCTTTAAGCTTTCTTTTCTATTATGTTATTGCAGAAAAATCCGCGGCCAAAATCCAGAACTGCTCGGCGCTAATGGAAGCAATCTGAAATCATGAAGTTGACGATACCCTTTTCTGCTACCAAAAAAATATGAATGTACCACCTGAAGCATCAGTCTTTCCTTGTTAGATGATCTTAAAATGATTTTTGCTATTAATCTGATGTCTTCCATTAGGCTTTTACAGCGTGTTACTGTTGAGCCCATTTTTTTAAACATTTGTCTAGGTTAGGTGATTTTGAATGCTAAAATTTCCCGAATTGTAGCTATAGTTTCTTTCCTGGTTCTAGTTTGAACTTGATCCATCATTCATTGTTGTAAAAGATATCAGATCTAGGCATCAGTTGTATGGCTCAGTTCAATGTGGATAGTTGGTCTTTGATTTTTATTTTAGAATGGGTTAGTGTTGATTTAAATTTCACCCAACCCTCATGTTTCCTTGAACTGACTAAAAGACACGAGTATTTCTTGGGGTCAGTAATGGAGGCAGGTCTAATGTGTGCTGTGAGCGTGACATTTCTTCATCTAGGTCTTAATTTGTGCCCTTAGGTTACTATATAAAAAAGAAGTAACTTTAATGTTTTTTTTTTGGTAAAAAAAAGAAGTAACTTGCAAACAATTTCATCAATTTTATTTTGTTTCAAAAACTTGCACCAAAAAGTAATTGATCTATTTGTAAAACCACAAACTACAAAATAATATCTCTATTGATAGAACATACATTCTGTGCCTCACTATCTTCCTTTTCTGTTTTAGTCATATTTCCTTTAAGCCTCTGCAGTTCAGCCTGCACCTGATCAACCTTAGGGTGTGATTGATCTCCAGAAGAGAACACATGAATGTCATTCTTGGCCTCAATCCAGCTTAACCCAGGATCTTTTTCCATCATTAATCCCCTCATTTTTCTTCTTATTTCAGCAACTTCATCCCATCTTCCTGCAGTAGCATAAAGATTAGAAAGCAAAATAAGCGTTGGACCATCTTCTGCATTCAATCTCATAACTTCCCCTGCTGCATGAACTCCCACTTTCAAATTTTTGTTTATAACACAGGCACTTAGCAAAGTTCTCCATAAATCAATATTGTCTTCAAAATAAGGTGATTCGTTGATAATTTCTTCTGCTTCTTCCAGTAACGCCGCACGACTCAACAAAGTTACCATGCAAGAGTAGTGCTTAGGCCCAGGAACTAAACCAATATTGTTCATATAATTCCATAGTAGCTTTCCTTGCTCAGCCAATCTACTGTGGCTGCATGCAGACAATAGAGACAAGAACGTCACTTGATCTGGAACCAGACCACGTTTAGTAATCTCCTTGAAAAGTTTCAATGCCTCATCCACCATTCCATGGTGACTATATCCTCCAAGCATTGAGTTCCAACACTTCAAATCTGGATGTGAAACTTGAGAAAATACATAATATGCAGCTTTAAGGCTACCGTTTTTAGCATACATATCAATTAGACTCCCAGATACAGACATTTCAACATCATAACCCAATTTGAAAGCGTAACAATGAATTATTTCACCTTGTCTTAAAATTGCAAGGTCAGCACAGGCACTCAAAACTCCACTGAGAACATAGCCATCAATCTCATGGGCTTCATGATACATTTCAGAAAAGCATCGAATTGCACTCATTCCGTCAGTCATTTTAGAATAACCGGCGATCATTTCTGTCCAGAGAACAGGGTCCTTTACTGGGATTGAATAAAATACACGCTGAGCAGCTTCCGTTTCTTGATTTTTGAAATACATCGATACTAGAGTGCTTCCCACAAACAAACTTCTCGCAAATCCTGCTTTAATAATCTGAGCATGAAGAGGCTTTCCAAAACTGAAACACAGGAATGCACCGGTTGCAGATATAATGGCAGCATAAGTATAGTCATCTGGTTTAGGAAAGCACAATTCCTTCAACTGGACAAACAAACTCATAGCCTTTTCTCCGTCCTCATTATCAGAATACCCAGCAATCATAGAATTCCATGAAACTAAATCCCAGTTTTTCATTCTACTAAAAATCTTATATGCCATCTGTGTATCACCAACATTGCAGTACATGTCTACCAGCGCATTCTGCAGATGTAAATCCGGCGACACATTCTCGACAATTACCCGTGCATGAATCAATCTCCCACAGAAACAATCTTTCAGTCGACTACAAGCATTCAAAATCATACAAAACGTGTATACAGTCGGCGTAAAACCAACCCTCACCATTTCCATAAATAGATAAACACCTAACTTGATCTTATCATTCTTCAAATACCCAACAATCAAAGAATTCCAAGCAACACCATCTCTTTCATTCATATCCCAAAAAACAGATTCAGCAGAACTTAAATCCATACAACTTGAGTACATATTAAGCAAAGAAGTTTGGACACAAATATCATTCAAAAAACCAAACTTCAAGCTCTTGGCATGAAGTAACAATCCAACCCATAAATCTCCATGCAACGAACATGCTTGCAGCAAGCTAGTAAAAGTCATGCTGGAAGGCCTAAAAGCAATATTTTCCATCTGTGTATACAAGTTAAGGGCATATATGGAATACTCAGATACTCGAGAATATGCTGCAAGAAGTGCATTGTAAGAAACAAGAGTTCTATGAGTCATTTTGTCGAACACTTGGTGGGAGTCTTTGAGTGAACCGCAGCGGGCATACATGGAGATTATGTTGTTGTATAGAAAGGGAGATTTGGACCCAAATGTGTTGGAGGTAGTTAAAAGGAGGGCGTGGAGTTGACGCGCCTCTCGTAATGAAGTTGTGATGCTGCACTTTTGCAGCAGAAGAGTATCTGTGATACAAAAACATAGCTTGTTCATGTAACACTTGCATATGCCTCAACCAACACCTTGATACGAATATACTATGTTATGTCTCTATGTTAAGGAAAGGGGGAATTTTTACCCCCAAGAACCGTTTTTATCAATTTCCCTCCCAAATACCTACTCTCCAAATTATTGCATATGTCTTTGCAGTGGTCGATCTAAGACTTCTAAATAATTTTTGTTTGTCATTGGGGCTTCATCCCAAATTATTGCAGTTACAACTCTAGTTAGATTTGCAAGATATTTTTGCTTTTCAATACCACAAATGGAATTCGATTGTATATTGATAGATATCTTAAATCGAGAGAGTGCAATCCTACCACCAGGTAACAATGTTGCAACTATTCCAGATGATGCAGTTGTTAAGACAATTTCTCCTCTACTTCTTAAACTTACTAGTAATGTTCTATAAAGGAACGACCATCAACAAAAAATACCCCAATGTGCTTACGATGAATGACTTCCATCATAGTTTTGAACGCAATCACCTGGTCATTATTTAACTTCTCAACAACTTCAATATCCTCGTTACGGATATCGACAACTAACTCCTTTTGCACGACACTTGGTATTGAATCTTCCTCTATTGTATTTGGTGGAAATGATGGGAGATCACAATCTTCGATTTTTTTTTACCGTGTTGGTTCAAGAGTTTATTCAAGTCTTTCAACAACATATTAGTCAAGATTGATTCCACACCATTGTGTGTTGTTTGATAACCCTCTATTATATGTGCAAAAACTGATTCCAGAGGCTTCTAACATCAATAGTCTCACAAAATATTAGAATTGTCACAAATAATCTTTTTTAAAGAATATGGCATTCGAAGACTCGTAGCCTCAACCAAACAATCACAAATACTATGATCGGTCTCTAGAAATCCCTTATCCTCAACTGATTTTTTAAATGTATTGAAAATAGTGCCATTATTTGTAAGAAGATATTTCCAACTGGTTGGACCTTTGACATGAGATAACAATACCCGCAAATAAAACTTCTCTCCTTCCGAAGGCGATACTGTATAGATTCTCCCAATAACTTTTCTTCTTGGCCCTCTTGTTCTAACAATAATGCTCCGAAATCTCTCTGTACAGATAATTTCATGCTTGTGGATCTCTTTAACTTAATGAAAAAAATTGTGTGAGCATTGTATTGGAGTTGAGTTCATTATGTAACACATATGTAATTCTCTGATGAACATAAAAGCGTACTTGATGGTGGTTTGGCAAGTGGATATGTAATCTTTCAACCGAAGGATATAATCTATAAAGAGTGAATCGAAATATTTTCCATAATGCCTCAGGAGCACAAGTCCATCTTGCATCGACATATTGTTTAACTTCATCCATATATGATCCTTTGTGAGCCTCCATAACCACACGATCAGGGCCCTTGTACACATATTTGCATAAATATTTGATACTTAATGCTACTACAAATCTCTACATTGATCTGACAATCACACTTTAATAGTAACCAAGGGTTATAATGAACTACCCATCTATTATCGACAAAACTATCTCTACCTAACGATACAGGGTCATCAAACCTTCTCCTATACTCTGGATATGAGTAAGTTCCTTGACGTGCTTCATCTAAGAATTGTTTAAGATACCTTTTTTTACATCGTTCGTCTTTCAGACATGGAGACTTTCGGTTGATTATGCCACAAGGTCCATGGATCATATGTTTTACAAATGCCTCATGCAATTGTGGTTCGCATTCTGATTTAGGTATTTCCGCTCTAACCACACTATCACACTCTGCTGGGTCACGTGATTTGTCGTTACTTTCTAAGACCAAGAACATATGTACATGCGACAATCCTCATTTTTGAAATTTAGTGACATACATGTAGCTTTTAACCTTTCCTAATACTCCTTTATTAATAACACCATCCTTTAATTGCTCGAATTTTGAACGAAATATTCTTGTGTGAAAATATGGACGATCTTAGGGTGTTTGAAAAGGCAAAAGTTCTGATGTGATATTACTCCAAGAAGGATTGCATGTCATTGTCAAAAAAATATCTAGTTTACCGCCATTAAGAACAATAAGCAATGCCATCTTCATAACATTGTGTCATGTCTCGATAACCACCAATAAATGATGATGACAACATTGTTCTTTTTCCAATGTTTTCTATGATGATGCATGAAATGCATTAGTTTTAGAATACGTGAATGATTATCATCAA